TGAATTTTATCCACAGTTCTTCCAATATCTCCATACGTTCCACGACAACGTCGGCGTTTCTGTGCTCTTGCATAAGTCTTTCAACTTCATTTTGTTTAGTTGTGATCGACGACACGTATCCTCTCCTCGAGTTCTTCAAGCGACGGATCTGGCCTGTCAGAACTGCATTCGATACGTTGACAAGGCTTGTACCAGAGGCATTTGACTGAAGATCCATCAACTATTGAACTATGTTGGTGCCATTAATTTCGCCAAGTACTCGTACACATAATGAACTCATCAATATCTTTATTTCTATCTCGAAGTAGTTTGAGTAGTTTGAAGAAGGTTCAATACTAGCATAAATACATAAATAAAGGCTAATTAGAACTATAAAATTACAAGTATTTTAACTACAAAACGATTACAAGAACGAAATTCAACTTACGTTATGACGGTTCGGCGAACAAGTAGGCACTCAAATAATTACAAGATCTATCGAACACAAAACGCTGAAAACGAATACATTACAAAGCCTATGGGAAAACAACGATCTGAACACAAAGGAAAACTATGTACTAAATGCAAAGACTGCTAAGTACAAATAAAGAGAATAGAGTACTAGTCAATTGTATAGCATTAACACAACTCGTGTTTAGTTATATATCTGACCTTAAAATTATACTGAAGAATCACAAAGGCGGGAACAGCTGAAATTTTAAGAGCCACCATCGCAAAAATCACATATATCTTGACGAGGCTCGAAGGATTAAATCATTTTACTAATGATTTCACAACATCATGTACAACAAAGGGCACGTATCAACCCTACATACAGGGTCTAGTTATTACAGTATGAAACACATTTTACTCACTAACGTCGCTAACCGTTTCTTTCATATCTATATCATGACTAAACTCATTCAGATACTCACAAGGGGATTGGAACGTGTAGCACCGTCCAATACTTCGAAGCATGCAACAGGACATAATTGTCACCATCAAAATTTCGATTCAAAATAAACACTCTCGGCCTTTTGATTCTCTGATTCTAAGTAACAGTAGATATTTTAGGACTAAGCGTTAAGGTTTTTTAAAGCATAATCCTTAACTCCTCGCACAAACGTTTTTCCTGCTCTTTCTAATACGGGGAAGGTTTCCATTGGAAGAAAATGTTTGGGTGTCAAACTCAGCCCATCTGGTTCAGGAGGCCACTGTTTCTTACACCATTCCCTAATCTCTAGAACTTTTGCTTCCTCGTCCGACACATCACATTCTCGTGTATCTTCGCGTAGAATTACGCATGCGCAAACCTCCTCGTGCAACTGCTGATCAGGGATTCCAACCACAACAACATCTGACACTTATGGGTGCTGCAACAGAACTTCAGTTTCAATGTGGGCAGGAAAGTCTTCACGGTTACTCGTTTGATAATTTCTGTCTTTCTTCCAATCGCCTCGACCAAACCATAACTCCATGTGGTGAAAGTATTTTTATTTGTGTTCCTGTATCTATCATATATTAATAAATATTAAAATATTTATTCCTAATATGTGATAGATACAGGAACACAAATAGCTGGGATTTCCCTTATCACGGTACCTTAAATACAATAGTATCTAAATATTTTCTTTAACCAAGGTATACTTTATTAACTCCATTTATCAAAAGTCAAGCAAATAGAAATGGTAGCCCGCCGTGATGACAAAATTACTGGCATATTTTCATAATTTAGTTCCATTAATTAATATTGGAGTTATTGGCTTTTTCTCGGGAAAAATTCAATTCTATCACAAGTCTATTGCACTAAATAATAGTAACTGCCGTTACGCTTTCTTGCGAAGTTAAACGTTGTTTACTTGACTTCTTGTTGTTCTTCAGTGATTCCATCGCTTATAGAAAATTTTTTGTTGTATCGTTCTTAAATTGGTAAGCGAAAAAGTGCAAGCAACAATGAATCTATATGGAACATGCAAAAAAACAATCTTGTTTGGTGATGCTTCTAGTAAAGAAAGCCAATCGGAGCGCGCGTACTATCTAAGCTATATTATTATAATGAACGCTAGAACACAATATTATTACACGAGACTATAGTATATTGCATTTTATTAAAAAACAGCAACCTTTTTCGAATATAATAACCACGGCGGAGGAACAAACTCGGATGCATTCAACTTCTTCCTTAAAGAAGCAAATCGATCAACACTCGGTCACGCTTTTAGCAGCGCTGTGACATAGTGAGAACATTTTAAACGGGTCATGTTATTTTTTATCGTAGTTCGTCAGCAAAACTAAAAGTTTTCCACTAATTCTAGATATTGACATGTGTTTAAAACGGAACATAGATGGACTAGCTCTGCTATCTATCTGTCATATATGAGTCAGCATAATTTGTTTCGACATCAAGTAATGAGATTCGCCACGCATCAACGCTGAGAATTGAATTTGTAATCAATCGATTCTTGTACTGGGATACTGGAGTCCTATATTACGAGCCATCTTCAATAAATTCGAGTAGGGTATTTCAACAGCAAAAGTTCTAGAGATAAGGGAATGGTGTAAGAGACAGTGGCCTCCTGGACCAGATGGGCTGAGCTTGACACCCAAATATTTTCTTTCAATGAAAAAGTTCCCCGTATTAGAAAGAACAGGGAAGACGTTTGTGCGAGGAGTTAAGGATTATGCTTTAAAAAAGCTTAACGTTTAGTCCTAAAACATCTGCTGTTACTTAGAATCAGAGAATCAAAAGGAGAGTGGCTATTTTGAATCGAGATTTTGACAAATCACCATGTATGGTGAATATTGGGTTGTAATCCATTTGCATACTTCGAAGTATTAAACTGTGCTTCACGTTTCAATTCGCTTCGAGTATCTAGTAGAATTTAATCATATAGATGAGAGACAAAAAATCGAAGGTTAGCCCTGTAGTAAAATGTGGTTCATACAATGTATGATTAAAGGCGGAAGTCAAACGGCATCACTTACGAACTTTTGTTTGTGTTTGGGAATAATAAATTGTATTCATCGATAGCGTGCTATTTCCATTCCCTTAATTATGATATACAAATGGAGATATTTTAATAATATCTTAAAATTTATCTCTAAAACTGAGAAATATAAAAAAAAACATCGATTTTTGAATCTACCCCATCTTTCCTCATTTATGATGAAAATACGATCGCGTTAAATGCCGGATATTCATATCCCTTCTAAGTTTCAAAGCTTTTTATTTTAGTGTTTAAAATGCTATATTTTTTTGGAAAAATGTTTATTCAACCTTATATCAACGTCCCCTTGAACATTTAATGGAACCGAGAGCACGGACATCAATGTACCAGTTGATCATAGCWCCGACAAATACGCCTGTAGCGGATCCGGCGGTCGAGATTTTGATTAATTGTTTTCGAAGTGTGGCAAAGAGCGGGGATTTTAASGCGAGTTTGAACATGTATTAGGCTGGAATCCGGCACTGTTTTTTCTGCCGTTATTGTTGTTACGGACGAAGTAGTTGTCTCCATTACAGCAGATTGTCGTCTTTTTCTTGTACGAGCAAGAGTCAAAGGCTTTAGTAACTTTATAAAATAAGAATCTAAAGGAGGGTCTCAATGGGGTGGTAAGAATCACGACTCGCGGCTAAAAATTTGGCTATTTCACGACTCACGACTATTTTTTTCGGATCACGGTTAGCTAGATTACTTTCAGAAATTTTTGAAATGAAAACAACGTTTTTCATCACTTTTTCATGTAATTTGTTTTGTGCTAGAGATACAGTGAGTGTGGGAGCACAGTGTCCCTTGTACGTTACAGACACTCAGTTAATTTAATTTTTTTATTTCAAATGTCAAATTTTGTCCATGCCCTGACTTGTCTGGGAGACCTTGTTGGTAGGTGCGATCCATTAGAATTTCTGGGGGAGGGGGGAGAGTTGAAGATTTTGGGGAAAAATTTTTTTTTCAAGTCAAAATTTTGAAAAAATATCCACTAAAGCTTWTATTTTTTAAATTTACTAAAAAAAAATACAAGCGCGCGCCTGGAGTTGACTGTCCTTCTGAGGAAYAATACTGAATCACGGCTCACGCTAGCTATAAAAAATATTCACGCCTCACGGCTAATTTTTTCTCATTTTCACGACTCACGGCTAATTTTTCAGCCGTTTCTCGGCTCACGGTTAACCCCATTGAGACCCTCCTAAAGAACCTAAAAAAATTGGGATAATCAATTTTGTCAGAACATGCACTGATTTCGTGAATGAATTGTTAAAATAACGCAAGTTTTTTTTAAACTGATCTAAGGTAACTTCAAGCGGGGCGTTGAATTCAGGGTTCTCAGCGTTGAATACCACTTGAAATACCCTCTCACCCGGTTGACGTGTCGACCAACCAGCTCACGATTTTAAAATTTAGGTATGAGATTCTATTCAATACCATTTCTATAACAAAACATATGCATCCTTAGTAAATACACTATGACAAAAAAGGCCATTTACACATCGACGTCATGATAGTTAAGACATGAAAACGTCAAAATGTCCAAAACTCCCGTAGTTCGTAGTTCGTCAGCAAAACAAAAAGTTTTCCACTAATTCTAGATAGTAACAAGTGTTTAAAACGGACCATAGATGGACTAGCTCTTCTATCTACCTGTCTTATATGAGCACAAATTGTTTCGACATCAAGTGATGAGATGCGCCACGCATCAATGCTGAGAATTGAATTTTTTAATCAATCGATTCTTGTTCTGGGATACTGGAGTCCTATATTACGACCCATGTTCAATAAATTTTAGTAGCGTATTTCAACAACAAAAAGTATTGATCAATAAAAATATTTTCAAATAACGAGCAGAAAAATATCGGCAAACTTAGTAGGTTTCCAAGCTCTTCTTCAATTGCATGTTGAAGAGATATTTTCTCTTACGGCCTGTTGTCTTGGAGCAGAAATTTCTCTCAACGCTCAGATSCGCTTTGTTCATTTACACTTTTGTTAATCTAATAGTAAATTCATATATGCTGTTGTTTTTACCTTTAAGAAGCTGCTATAACTTATCACTAAGGTATCACAACCAATTGTAGAACAGGCAAACGGCAGTCTAAACTGGTTCTAATTGAGTGTAAATCGACTCTTGGTCAACGCTCTTGAGAAGTCGGGCAATACGAACGTGTGGGGCAGTTTTGGACATTTTGACGTTCTCATGTTTTAATTATCGCATGACGTCGATGTGTAAATTGCCTTTTTTGTCATAGTGTATTTACTAAGGATGCATATATATTGTTTTAGAAATGATATTGAATATAATCGCATTACCTCAATTTTAAAATCGTGTGTTGATTGGTCGACACGTCAACCGGATGAGAGGGTATTTCAAGTGGTATTCAACGCTGAGAAACCTGAATTCAACGCCGCGCTTTAAGCTACCTTAAATCAGTTTTAAAAACTTGCGTTATTTTAATAATTCATTCAGCATGCTCTGGCAAAATTGATTATCCAAATTTTTTTGCCAGTGTCTTTAGATTCTGATTTTAAAAAAATACTAAAGCCTTTGACTCTTGCTTGTATACAAAGACGGCAAGCTGCTTTAATGGCGACAACTATCTGTCRCAAATGAGCATAAATTGTTGCRACATCAAGTGATGAGATGCGCCACACATCAATGTCTAATCAATYGATTCTTRTACTGGGAAACTGGAGTCCTATCTAAGACCCATGTTCAATAAATTTGAGTAGGGTATTTTAACAGCAAAAAATATTGATCGATAAAAATATTTTGGAATAACGAGCAGAATAGTATCGACACACTTAGGAGGTTTCCCTGCTCTTTCTCAATTGCATGTAGATATTTTCTCTTACGGGCTGTTGTCTTGGAGCAGAAATTTCTCTCAACGCTCAGAT